AAAAAAAAAAAAAAAAAAAAAAAAAAAAAAAAAAAAAAAAAAAAAAAATCGATGCTTCCTAGGTCACATCAAATATTGTATAAAAAAATGAAATTATTTTGTAACTTGTCGTTTTAAAATTGGCTTGTTTTGTTACAATGTTTTTCAATTTAAAGTATTTGTCGAAAATCCCAACAAAAACAATGCATGAAACATGACATTTGGAATATTCAACGTTTCATTTTTCTTGAAATTATGTTGGAAAGGTTCGATCGATCGATTTAGATTGATAACTGATCAAATTTGAACGGAATATTTATCATCGAGATTCAAATATCTTAAACTCTACTTGAACCGTTTACTTGAAGATGCAAAATTGCATAAATACAGTTGAGATGACTTCTGAATTTTTTTCTTCCTCTTTCGATTTAGATTTGACAGTCACTTATTTGTCCTCCCAACTCGGTTCTAGGTCGTGACTGTGCAAATGGTAGACCTTTGAGCTAAGAAAACCTGCCTCGACCTTTGACGTTCGGTGCCTTAAGCACTTTGACCCGTGATTCATCTTGACCAAGGTTCAATCTTCAGTTTCGTTTCGATTCAATTCGAGCCCAAATAATATAGAAATTGATTCCATTATGATAAAACAAATAATTAGCTATAAATTTAAAATGAATGAGACTCGAGAGGAAAAAAAAAAGTTTTATGAATTTTGAGACGTTTTTACTCTATTTTTAACGCACCGAGAAATTTTAATAGAATTTGAACCTTCAACCTAGATGTAACAGCCAAAACCCACCCCCAACATATATTGTCTGCATCATCGTCAGTCTCACGGTTTTAAAATGCGTATACTGAAAAGAAGTTTTCACACCCCTTTAAAAAATACTTCGTTCCCCTCTTCAATCGACGTAGGATTTCACAATTCACCCCTTTTGAGCTAACGTCCTCGCTGACACACCGTCCAATGTCTGGTTCTGATACTATTTGTAATCTCCCAAGTCGACCATTAGTAGATATTGTCTGCTTTCAGCCTCACGGTTTATAATATGTCTGCTAGGTAGAAGTTTTCACACCTATAAAGAAGGTTTTGTTCCCTTTTGTAAATGATCTAACATATAATTTTTCATTAGGCTAGTTATGAAATAAAAAAGAATATTAGAGACTGACCATTAAACACAAAATAGTAATTTTATGTAATTTGTTAGACACGACGTTGAAAGGTTAATAATAACAGAACCCGTAACGCAACCCGACCACACATATATTTCGATTACAAAACCAAAATAAAATAGTGTTTTTTGGTTTTAAAAAAAAAATCAAAAGTGGGACCCAGAAATAGGCATAAATAATGTAGAACCTCTAAGGATGTTGTCATAGTGTGTAAAGAAGAGCAATCCTTTCACCAAAAAATTCCCAGCCATTCCCCTGTTGGTTTAGCCATGGAAGGCCCTCTGTTGCGAGAAGTGTGCGCCCTGTACGACCAAATCTCGAGCCTTGCCAGCCTCAAGCCTTCCAAAAATGTCGACACTCTCTTCACCCAACTAGTCCTCACGTGCTCCCCGCCCGCCCCTGGCCTTGATATCGCCTCTTTGCCTCAGCCACTTCAAGCCATGAGGGCTCATCTCATCCGTCTCTGCGCCACCGCTGAGGCGCTTCTTGAAGTTCATTTCTCTTCCATTTTGGCTTCCTTTGAGAATCCCATTCATAACTTGTCTATCTTTCCTTATTACTCTAATTACTTGAAGCTCTCTCTTCTCGAGTTCGATATTCTTATATCTCATTGTCGTCGGGTACCTTCTAGCATTGCATTCGTTGGCTCCGGCCCACTCCCGCTTTCCTCCATTGTCATGGCGTCCACTCATCTTAAGGGTAACTCAAACGCTAGTTGGCTAGCTAGTATTGCATGACATAAGATTATGCCACAAAATTCATCCTTGTCTTTTCGACGTGAGATTCCTAACAGGCTCCCTCGAGATGATGTCTCTTTGGGATCACCATTCTTAGATCTAGCCCAATTTTTTTGACTGAATATCGGATTCAGGTTCATCGGCTTAGATACACTATTAGATTAGTATCACGTTCTATCTCAAAATTAATTAATCATATGAAAAGTAACTCAGGTATCTTGCTAAGATGGTGAGACATCTTAATGTTTTTTTTTTTATATAAGATTTTCAAGAACTTATTGGGTTGAGTTGTGATGCGATAGATTATGGTAGATTTGTTATCTAGCTCTAATACCATGTTAGAATAATTCATAAACTTTTTCGTCTTATATTTCTCAATAGGTACTATTTTCCACAACTTTGACATCGACCCAGCTGCAAACTCCATGGCGAGGCGGTTGATTCGCTCGGACTCAGATTTATCGAAGCGGATGGTGTTTCACACGGCAGATGTAATGGAGGTGACGAAGGCGTTTGGAGAGTACGAGGTGGTGTTTTTAGCAGCATTGGTAGGGTTGGAGGAGGAAGAGAAAGGAAGGGTTTTGAGGCATTTAGGGAAGCACATGGCACCTGGGGCTTATTTGATGCTAAGGAGTGCACATGGAGCTAGAGCATTTCTCTACCCTGTTGTTGACGTTTCTGACATTGAAGCATCTGGGTTCGAGATTTTGTCCGTGTTTCACCCTACTGATGAAGTTATAAACTCCGTTGTTATTGCAAGAAAGGTGTCTGATCTCGTTCTCGATAACAATAATTATAATGACAACAACACAGATGATGAAAAACGAGGTGTTTTAGTTAACACCCCTATAATATTGGCCGAGAAGTGCTCGGGGTTTAAAGACTTCGGTCCCATGATCGATGAGCTTGGCATAGAAGAGCAACTTTCTTGAAATAGTTGCATTATTGTGAAGTATGTTTGGAATTGTCTTTCAGTATTCTAAATGAAAGGATTTGGTTGGGATGTGTGCAAAAATAATTTTCCAAATTGGGAAAACAAAAATAATTGAGGAATTCCAAAAGGGTAAACAAAGAACAAAGGATTGGTCTAAGGGATAATATACATATAAAGATGGACTTGTGTTTTGGCTTATTCTAAAACCTTATCTTCTCCCATTTTTGGTTCCAAGAACTCTTGTCTTTTGTTATACGATCGAATCTTCGTTTCTACTCGATAACCGGAGTTTTAAAAGTTCAGAAGATAGTTTTGAATTGTCTCAAAATTACCGTTCCTCCCTCTCCTGAGGCTTATGGAGCTCTTGAATAGCCTTCCCTTAATCGAGGCTCGATTCCTTTCTCTAGGAGATCTCGAACAAAGTACACCATTTGTTCGACATTTTAGTCACTTTTGACTACACTTTCAAGGTTTACAATTCTTTGTTCGATATTTAAGGATTCTATTGTCATGGCTTTGATATCATGTTAGGAATCACGACTCTCCATAATGATATGATATTGTACACTTTGAGCCTAAGCTCTCATGACTTTACTTTGGGCTTCCCCAAAAGGGCTCATACTAATGGACATAGAATTTCTCACTCGTAAACCCATGATCTTCTACTAAATTGGCCAATGTGAGACTCACTCCTAATAATAATCTTCAACATAGGATAGAGGAAAGAAGAGTTCTTTAGATATCATTCTCTCCCCTTCTTCTTTCTTGTTGTTGGTTATGTCGCACCACCGATCATCGGGGCATACATTTTTTTTATTGGGGATTTCGAGGTTTCCACATTTTTACAAAGAATGCTTCGTTCTCCTCTCCAACCGATGTGAGATCTCACAATCTACCCCATCGACCCCAGAGTCATCGCTGACATTATTAGCTGGCACACGTCTATTAGGGAGATGTTTCTACAACGTTATAAATAATATTTCGTTCCTCTGTCCAACCAACACGTGATCTCACAATTCTCACCCTCTTGGGAGCCCATCATCTTCGTTGACACACCACCTTTGGTTCTAATATCATTAGTAACAACCAAAACCTGCTACTAATAGATATTATCCGTTTTACCTAATTACGTATCACAATCAGCCTCACGATTTTAAAACACGGTCTATTAAGAAAAGGTTTTCACACCCTATAAGCAATATTTCGTTCCTTTCTCCAACCAATGTACCCTGAACATGGTTTAACTAAATTATCTTCAATTTCAAGTAACGACTTTGAAATGCACGGAAAGCCGGGTTGTTACAAACACTTTTACGTTCTAATATATTCACGTATTTCTGTCTAAAGGTAAGAAATTCTAAGTCTACAAAACCAAAGATAAACTACAGAAGAAGCTAAATCAAATTATATGGCCTGATTCAATCCTTTGATGCATCCCCCGTCCCCGTCCCCGTCCCCGTCCCCGACCCCGGCTCCATCCATGAGCATGAACCGCATATCTTCGGGCGGCTTCCAATGCCGCTTTCTCTGGTTTATGAACCAGTTATTGATCTGCTTTTGATCCAAACCAGTGATAACAGAGAGTTTTGATTTTTCCTCTTCCTATCAAACCAATAAACAACAAAGTTTCAAAAAAGAGACAAAAGTTGATCAAAATGATTGGTTTTTTGTAGAGATTGAAAGATTACCGTAGGATAAGGCCATTTATAATGAGCACTCCACCACTCAAGTAGAGCCATTCTTGCATCCTTTGGCAGCTTCTCCTTCTTCCTCTTCTTCAAGAATTCCTTCTTCAAACTGCTTAGATACCCACTGTACTTCTTTAGCAGCATTTCTTTGAGGTCTTGGTTTGTTTTTCGTGTGCTGAACGGCTCGTGATTCCCTGACGTTTCTACCTCCCCGTAGCTGCTCGGTTCTTCCTCTGGAGTCCCGGCTACTTCGTCTACAAACACACAAAACAGATGACGGGAAGTCGAAATATTTATAAATGACAGTGAGATTCCACATCGGTTGAGGAGGAGAACGAAACATTCTTTAAAGGGTGTAGAAACCTCTCCTAGTAGACGCGTTTTAAAAACTTTGAGCGGAAGCCCAAAAAGGACAATATCTAGTAGCAGTGGGCTTAGGTTGTTACAAATGGTATTAGAGCCAAACACTATGTAATGTACTAGTGAGGAGGCTGAGCCCCGAAGGGGGAGTGGACACGCTAGGCCTCAAAGGGGGTGGGGGGTGGATTGTGAGATCCCACATCGGTTGGGGAGAACGAAATATTCTTTGTAAGGGTGTATATACCTCTCCCTAAGAGACGCGTTTTAAAAAACCTAAGGGGAAGTCCAAAAAGATAAGCCTAAAGAGGACAATCTCTGCTAGCGGTGGGCTTGGGTCGTCACAAATGATATCAGAGCCAAACACCGGATAATGTGCAAATGAGGAGACTAAACCCTGAAGGGAGTGGATTGTGAGATCCCACATCGACTGGGGAGGAGAATGAAATATTCTTTATAAGGGTGTGGAAATCTCTCCCTATCAGAAGCGTTTTAAAAATCTTGGGAGGAAACCCAAAAAGGACAATATCTGCTAACTAGCGATGGGCTTGAGTCATTACAAATGGTATTAGAGCCAGACACCGGGCGATGTGCCAGTGAGGAGGCTAAGTCCCAAAAGGGGTGGCCACTCTGGGCCCCAAAGGAGGGTGGATTGTGAGATTCCACAACGATTATCGGTTAAGGAGGAGAACGAAATATTCTTTATAAAAGTGTGAAAACTTCTCCCTAGCATACACATTTTAAAAACCATGGTCCAAAGAGGACAATATCTGCTAGCGGAGGGCATCGGTCATTATAGTTTATGAGTTTTCACTCTCGGTAGAATCCCAAGAAATGAACAACTTTTTCATTAAAGTTCATACAAGATTCGTCATTGCGATAAGGATAAAGATCATAACCATGGTTGTTCGACAAAAGTAGCAATGTGATTTCAAGCCAAAATGGAAGAAGAAAGTACCATCGATGGCAGAGCGAGATTCGGACGTCGCAGTAAACGATCCTTTACACAGGTTGCTTAGCTCCAATTCAATGTTGGTCAAGAACATGGCTGCTTCATCAAATGGCTTGGATAGCTCATTCTTATATTGATGAAGCACCTCACAGTATGACTCCTTCACAAGAATCAATTATCAGATAAAATATTAGGAACCAAAACAAAAACAGCAGAAAGTTCACCAAATTGATACTTTAAAACCGCCCTTAGTTTTTGTCAATTAAGGTGTTCTCTATCGAATTATGGCTAAGCATAACAGTCTAAGCTCACCATTAGTAGATATTGTAAGTTTTGACCCTCGATCTCGCGGTTTTAAAACGTATCTCCTAAGGAGAGGTTTTCATACCCTTATAGGTAATACTTTGTTCCCTTCTTCAACCGATGTGGGATCTCGCAATTCATCCCCCTTAGGACTCAGCGTCCTCACTGACACACCATCCAGTGACTAACTCTAATACCATTTGTAACCGCCCAAATTCACCGCTAGATTTTATCTGCTTTGACCCTCGACCTCACGGTTTTAAAATGTGTCTTCTAGACATTGGGGCCCAGCGTCCTCACTAGCACACCGCTCGGTGATTGGCTCTGATACAATTTGTAACAGTCCAAACTCATCGCTAAAAGATATTGTATGCTTTGACCCTCGGTCTCACAGTTTTAAAACGTGTCTTTAAGGGAGAAATTTTCACTCCCTTATAGGGAATGCTTCATTCCCCTCTCCAACCGATGTGGGATCTCACAATTCATACTCTTTGGGCCAGTGTGCCAGTGTCCTCACCGGCACCCACCCAGTGATTGGCTTTGATGTCATTTGCAACAGTCCAAGCCTATCACTAGCAGATATTGTAAGCTTTGACCCTTGTCTCACGGTTTTAAAACACATCTTCTAGACTGAGATTTTCACACCCTTATAGAAAATGTTTCTTTCCTCTCTCCAACCGATGTGGGATCTCGCAATCCATCCCCTTTGAGGCCCAGTGTCCTCCCTAACACACCGCACACCTCCCGGTGACTGGCTCTGATACTATTTGTATCAGCCCAAGCCCATCGCTAGTAGATACTATCCACTATGACTCTTGACCTCACAATTTTAAAATATGTCTTTTAGGGAGAGGTTTCCTCACCCTTATAGGAAATGCTTCGTTTCGCTCTCCAACCAATGTAGGATCTCACATCGAATGGTCAACGTCTCCACACACGTTATTCACCCGTCAATAAATAGAGCATTTTTTTTCTACAAATCATCTCGAAGCTCGGGATCAAAACGGAATAACCCGAGTTTAGAGACTAAAACAATATGTAAAATTCACAACTAGGAAATCTAAAGTATAAGCCATTAAGATTTCCTTGTCAAGAATGATCGAAAAAACAACAAGAAATTGAAGAACAAAGTACCATAAAGTTGTCCAGTTGAGGATCAGCTCCCAACTCAATACAAGATCTAGAAGGATGATTTTCACGGCCAATTTCTTCAAGAAGAGAAGCCACTTGTGGTGGAGCTCCAACCTAGTTCATTTCAAGCACAAAACACAACAAAATTCAAAACAAGACAACCTCAAAAACTGCTAAAAACACCTCAAACAAGAAGATTTACAAACTTTTTGGCATTCAATGTAAGCAGAAACCAATTTTGGGTAAAGGGGATGGTTGATAATCTGAGTCTTGATCATGTCAGACATGTTCAAGCCAGTGGTGGGCTCTGCTTCAAGGTGAAGCAGTTCATCATCCACCATTAGAGCTTCATGAATGTCACCACAGCTGGTGCTAGCAATGGCTTCACCTCCAAGAACACCATTAGAATAAGAGGACATGACAGGGTTGTTAAGCCTGTAAAACTCTTCCATTTCTTCAAACTCCAAAGCTTGTAAGATTGAATTTTCTCTGTCTTAAACTTAAAATCCCTAGAGAGAGAGTGAGAGGAAAGTTTAGGTTATAGAAAGAAAAAGAAAAAAGAAACTGATGTAATAATGATGATACTAAGAAAAAAAATGTTATGAGGCAGCTAAATTCTAGGGGGGTTCCATTTCTGTCATCATATATTCATTCTAAACTAAAGTGAGTGCATCAAGGCCTCTTTCCATCTAAAAATTAACAAAACCCTCTTGCTCGTTTCGGAAAATTTTCGAGAAGAACGTTTAAGAATGATGAACATTCCGTAGAATAAGATATTATTTCATCTAACGACAGGTCAAATGTTTATTCTTTCTTCGTTGTTTCTCGTAAGAACAACGTTCAAGAATAAGAGATTATATCATCTCATGACGAATCAAATGTTCATCGAAAGAAGCGCGTAAAAAATAGTTAAGACCTCTGTTTAGCCGGTTAAACTAGGTGTAGAAATAAAAACAAACTCTTTTGCTTATCGTAAGAAAAACGTTCAAGAACGATGAACAATCCATAGAAAAAGATATTATATCATCTAATGACAGATCAAATGTTCATCGATGCAAGCACGCAATGCATTAAAAGGTAGTTTTAGACCTTCGTTTGGCCTCTTAAACTCACTTGGTATATAAAAACTCAACGAACCCTTTTAGAACGATAAACAATCTATAGAATAAGATATTATATGATGTAATAACAGATCAAATGTTGATCGAAACAAGCACAAAACCGAGGAAAAACATGTTTTAGACCATTGTTTGGCCTAAAAACTTTGTCAAAAACACAAGTTTCTACAAGATTTTTCCAACATATTGAAAGATATAAGAAAAAAAGAGTAAAGAAATGAGAAAGTTTTTGAGAAACGTGGATGAAAGAACAGGTGATGGAAGGATTTGACAAGGCTAAGCTCTAGCCTGTATTTGTAGAGGTCATATAGCTCTGTCTCTCCAAGTTTGAAGTGACATTCCTCCAGCTTTCATGATCTGATTGGCTAACTCACTGCTACTATCAACTCCATCTTTAATTTACTGTTCATTTCTCTTTTCTTTTTCAATTCTTTTTTTCCTTTCCATAAACAACCACAAGAAGGGTTTCCACTCATGGAAAAAAATAAGACACAAAGATGCTTTGTTTTTGTGTTCACAGCTAGCTGAGCTGAGCTGAGCTGAGCTGCTGCTGCTGCTGTTGTTTTCTGTTTTGTCTGTCGGTTTCTTGGTTTGGCAGATCCATGAGATAACAACAAATTGCATATTCAATGAAGAACTCTTTTGCTATGTGATAATAAAGCTAAATTTCTTGTAAGTTTGTACTCATTGCATGAAAATGGGATCTTTAGAACAAATAATTGGCTCATATGCACCCAAAACAATCATTATTTACCTGTTGGCATCAGGTGGAAAGAAAAGCCAATTATAGCTTTTAATCGATTAGAGTTGGAAAAGATAACGTAATGATCAAGAATGATAACTTAGTCTGAAAGCGAACTCTGAGATCTCACATTGGTTGGGAAGGAGAACAGAGTATTCTTTATAAGAGTGTGGAAATCTCTCCCTCGTAAACACATTTTAAAAATTTTGAGTAAAAGATCGAAGAACATAATGTTTGTTAGCGGTCGGCTTGAGTTGTTATACAAACAATATTCTTATTATAGTATAGAGAATCTCAATCGTTGTAGATTGGCTTGATCAACAAGTGTCATGAGTATAGTAAAAAGTTATTACTATAACCCGAGCACTCGTAGATATCCATCCATGATGATCAATAAGTGTCGTGAGTTGAGTAAAAGGTTCGAGTTTCCTTGATACCCAAATGATGAGGTGTCACGTTGGTTGTCTTGTGCACATAAGCTAGCTCGAAAACTTTTGGATATTCAAACAAAGTTCATAAACATGCATTTTGTCATATGAAATATTCGGTTTCATTCGAGCTTCTATCTTAACTTAGATAAATCAAATGAGACGCTCGACCCAGATGGCTTGAGACGTCGAGTAAAGTCTCGATCATCTCCAAAAGCAGAGCGGTTAACTTCGAGTCTCCCGAGGCAAATCTTGGATCAGCTTTTGTTTGTGTTTGCTAAATAAGAAATGAGTCAAAAGTTAGAGATGATTGCAACTTTTTTAGGAGAAAAAGTTTTCATTATCCCAAATTAATTTACTCCAAAATCAAACTGTTGAAGATTCCAATCAGGTGCTAATTTATTTTGGTTGTCTGCTAGCTGCCACTAAACACAGCCACAAACACATTTTTTTTTCAATTTTTGAGTATCAGTTGGATCTTTGAAGATTGCTTGAACATTTAGAGAAAGATTTGTAGTTTATAAGTCAAAAGAGTTCTTCATTCTTCCCACCACGATTCTCGAAAAAAAAAATAATGGATTTATACCCGTAAATGAATGTTTTATCACTAATAATTATATCGATTAAAACCCTGAATTTTTATAGTTTTGAGATTATATGTTGTTCGCTTTGACCTGTTACGTATCGTCGTCAATCTCATGATTTTAAAACGGGAGAACAAACATTTTAAAATGGGAGTGCTTTGTTCTACTCTCTAATTGATGTGGGATCTTACAATTCACCCTCTTTAGGAGTCAAACGTCCTCATTGACACATTGATCGGTGTCAGGATCTTATACTATTTGTAACAGCACAAGCTCATTATTAGTAGATATTGTCTGGTTTCTCCTAAAGAAGACAATACATGCTAACGATGGGCTTGGGCTGTTACAAATGGTATTAGAGGCAGATACTGAGCGGTGTGCTAGGAGAATGTTGGGCCCTGAAGGGAGGGAGGGAGTGGACATTGGACGGTGTGTCAATGAAAACATTGGGCCTCAAAGGGGGTGGATTGTGGGATCTCACATCGATTGGAGAGAGAAACGAGTACCAGCGAAAATGTTGGATTGTGAAATTCGATTAGAGAAACAAACAAAGCATTCTTCATAAGGGTGTGATACCTCTTCCTTTCTAGAAAAAACCTTAAGAGAAAGTTTAAAAAGGACAATATTAGGTTTGAACTGTTATACTAATGCTCTCCTATCAAACTTAACGATGCATATCTACTAACTCTAACAATCAATGTCTTCATGCGACGATGTAGTTTAATGGGATGTCTGGAGGCAACCTCTTGCCCAACCGTTAGCAATCCGACTCCATGAAGATGTTGCTCGTCCGCTAATATCTACACGGAAGAAGTGACTGAAACAATTTCATTGATAAATCAAATAAAAGATAAAACACCCGAAATAACTCGGTATAATTTCTTAACGAAGAAAGGCTAAAATCAATAATGGTGGACACAATTCACAACAAGGTCCAAAAAATAGGCTGCCTAAGACTTAGTTTTTTGAATTGCCTCATTAAGGAAGCCCATGATAACGGGAAGGCCATAAACCCCTCTCATAACTAAATTCGTTGGAGAGGAAAACGAAACATTTCAACATCTCCATAGTAGACACGTTTTAATATCGTGAGGCTGACGTCGATACGCAACGGGCTAAAGCAGACAATATGTGCTAGCTGTGGGCTTGGACTGTTACAAATGATATTAGAGCTATATATCGGGTGGCATGCCAACGAGGACGTTGGATCCCAAGGGAGATGGATTGTGAGATTCCACATTAGTTAGAGAGGAAAACGAACAAGCCAAATCTAATACGAAAGGGAGGGAATTAACACCTGAACTCTCATAAAATATCAGACAAAACCATCAAAATTAGGTCAATTGCCATATTCTCCTCGGCCAAATCAACCATTTTCACACCAAAAAAAAACTAATTTTGGAACTACAATCGAATTATGTTCGAGTAAATTTGTACCTTAAGTCTATACACTAGCTACCATATTCTTTTCGTCAGAAAATCTTTTAAGTTCATCCAGCTGAGTGATATTATAGAAAATTTAAGTTGAGATTCCTACCTAGCAATATCGATAATTTTTTGATATGTTCGAGAGTTATAGAAGCGAGACACTCCACAAAACAATTAATTATGACTTGAAAAAATATTTGGATACTTTACACCGAAGATAGTATACCTTTTAAGATGAGCCTGCACTAACAACCTCTCATTCGGTGTTACAAACAATTGATGATTTGAAAATCCAGATCAACTTTAGAGTTAATTCATACTCATTTGAATTCTCTCGAGTTCAAATAAATGACAATTTTAAGTTCCGTAAAGCTATATCAGATTGAACCAAACTAACTTGATCGGACCCAACCCAATCTAATCCAATCCAACCTAACCCTATCTAAACAATTGAGTTAGGTCTATCGGGCTCGATCCAACCCAACCTGATCGAAAACGACCCAACCCAACTTGATCCAATCCACGGACACCCTTAGGAACTAGGGTCGGTCGATCCAAAAAAAAATGGTCCTAAAGGAATGAGGCCCATTAAATGTGGGAGCCCAAGAGAAAAAGGCCCATGAAGGAACAAGCAAACCCAAAACAGAATAAATAAATAAATAAATAAGACACGTGGCGAGAGGAGAAGAGTTGGGGGCAGTGAGGTAAAGAAGGCGGAAGCGTACGAATAAAGTCAGAGAGGATACGTGGATGACGTAGCGAGATGGGAAGGTCAGCTGTCACATCAACAAACTCGACACGACCGGTGACATTAGAAAGCCCCATCAATTCACACCATTATCTCTCTCTCTCTCTCTTTCTCTCTAAATCTCTTTCATTTATTTCTACCATAAATCAATCACTTGCTGACGTGGCAGACAGATCAGACAGCTGCTGACACAGACCACTCCATTTCCTTCTCTCTTATTTTAATATTATTTTCACAAAAAGAAGCTTTTTGACACCTCGACAGTATCGCGCGCGATGCGCGGGAGGCCTAGTGGGGCCCACATCGTTTCTTTTTTCTTTTTCAGGAAATCTTAATTTAATTTTAATTTTAATTTTAATTTTATTTAATTTGGTCCTTGTGTGGGACCCATAACTAACAGTGAACTAACGTCCTACTTCCTACGCATCACATTTTCTTGTTTCCTTCTTTTTGTTTTTCTTTTTTAAATTCCAAAATATATTAAATGTATATTCCATAAATAAACTTTGAAATTTTAAATTTAAATTTAACTCAAAAAGGAATTCTTAGTATTTTATATTTATGTCGAACAAGAGTCAATTTAAGCATAGTTCAATTGATATAAGTATATATTATCGAGTAACGCTTCAAAACTAAAACTTAAAGTTGTATAGCATTTACTTGAAACCGTGTAACAATCTAAAGTTTCATTCTTAGGGATTTTGATAGTCGTCTCGATGATCAAGAGAGACAAAGGATTTGAATTTCACAATCGAAGTATGGAAACCGAACGGATCCCCTTCGTAAATGTGTGATTCCTACAATTCAAGATACAAAACTGTGTTTACAAACATTTTCTTTTCTTCCAACATGTTTTTACATTTTTTCTTTTTGGTCTCATTCTCAAACAGATCCATTTCCAGGTCCTCCTAATGTTAAAAACACACCCTGAAGATCATCTCTAAGCTTGACAGGCAATGAAGATGGACTTGGTTTTATGATTGGAACTGGAGGTGGACCTGGTTGAGCTTGCCTCAAGCTCTGAGCTGACTCGGACATCAAAACCATCGGTCGTTGCTGCGAGTTCTTCGACGGTTCTATGTGATTCGAGTTCAGGACTGTGTTTACAGGAAGAGGTGGACTTTCTGTTACAATGCTGGCTGCTCTTGAGAAGACCCCAGGTCCCTGATTCAACACAAGACTTTTCAATATCTTGGAAAAGTTTTCATTTGTTTATCTACTTGAAAGGAGAGGAAGAAAGTTCGAGTTTTTGGCGACGCTTACGGGTGCGAACAGGACACCTCTATATACTTTCCCATTGACAGTAGCAGTCATCAGGAAGCCAGAGTCGAACGCCCCGTCAACTCTTCCACGCACCTCCGATCCAATCTGAAACAAACATGATGTCGAAGTATTAAAAAGTGATAAAGATGTACATGTCAGGAATGTTGCTCTTGATGATATGTGATGGTGTATTATTGAGATAAGCTACCGGGTTTTGAATGAGACCAGTCTCCAAGGACTTCTGTCCCACCGGGCGAACAACGTGGAGAAGCTGCAGCTGTTCAGTCTTTAGTTGATTCTGGTGTCCGAAATATGGAAGCTCTTGCTGTGGAGTGCTTTGGACAACATTTTGGAACTCGGATTGAGTCCTAGAAATGCGGTACGGATCACTAGTTGAGCTATGATTCACACGCTTAAGAAGGCGTAATCCTCCTTGGGAGCTTGTTACTGAATCAGAGACTTTTCGAGCTGGGGTCTGTTCTTGATCGGATTGCGATGGAGATGAATGCTGGGACAGCGACAAAGAATGCTCCTCTTGCTCAGATTCAACCTCCCACACTTTCGGATTCATGGTTCTCCTCCGTTTTGGATGCAACGTCTCTGGAAACGTAATCAAAGCTAGATCGTTCAAGCACATCGAACATGTTTTGTAATCGAGAATCGACTTGAGAAACTAACACTGAAACTGACCTGACATGAAATGAGCAGCGTGTTTTGTCTCCGATTTCGGTTCATGATCTCCCTTTCTAATCAGATCTATGTTGTTCCCCATAAGCTTCGTTTTCTGATTCAATGAAAACACCAAATGATATAACAACAACTTAACGACAATGCAATAAAAGCTTATGTACTTGAGCTGTGTGTTTTCGTACCATGCCGCTCTGATCTTCTCTGAAAGAATTCTTACTCTGATTATTCCAGTGGTTTCCAAAAATTTTGCACATCGAAACATTGTACCGACCATTTGGATGCGCTGCTCCAAGTTGCAAGACCAACAGATCATTGAGAGGTCGTTCATCCTCCCCACACCTACGAATTCCACAAAATAACACAGAAAACAAATGAATCGACGAACCCGAATTAGGAATGTCGCTCGCTGTCTATAAAGTTTAGTGCTAAACTACCCTCCATATATGACGATGTCTGAGTCTGCAACCACAGCTGTGTGAGAAAATCTTCCTTGAGGTTGTTGACCGCACGTTTCGAGCTGAGTCCACGAGCACGTACATAAATCAAGCACCCATGCATCATTGTAGTATTGTCTATCTCCAACCCCACCTAGGATGTATACCTGCATATAGGAAAGATCAGTCGTGGCCTAAAGCAGCAGATGACATGATCATAAGGTTCTGAATGTTTCTGTGTTTTTTATTATACAATAATATTAACCGCAGCATAACGACTTGCCTTCGTTGCAATATTAACCGCAGCATGACCTGCCCGAACACCGGGTGAAGATCCTTGAACACACAACTATTGACAAAAAAGATGAAACAGCCATTGAGACAAAGATCATTGCCAATTTCCAAAGCAAAATAGTTGAAATAAAGATCAATACTCTAGACCAAGTCAGCGAGCGCATGTCGAGCATATCGACGCCCCCTTGATATCGATCTCCACAGTCCCCGCCATAAACTAAAAGCTTGTGACCAACTGCTGTAGCAGAATGACTATCCCTAGGAATTGGAACATCACCCCTCACCTCTGTATTCATCCACACCATAGTCTTGAGGTTCAAAATGTGCAGATCATTCAAGTAATTTGATTCACCCTCTCCACTTCCCCCGAAAATAACCAGTTTGTCATTTCCAATGAGTGTAGCCGTGTGACTTTCTCGTGGTGCTGGTGGATTCCCTTTACATTCAGGTTGTGTCCATTCCTTGGTTCCAAGGTCCAAAATGTGAAGATCATTTACCTTCTTAGAGCCATTTGTACCACCAAAAACTATCATTTGGCTTCCAACAATTACAGCGCCGTGGCTGTCTCTCGGTCCCGGACTGTGTCCCGTCGTTACCATGTTGGTCCAGAGCATGGTATCAAGATTAAGTACAAGAACATCACTGAAATGCAACCCCCCACAGCATCCCTAGATTGGAGTATTGGAAGAACAAATCACAAAAACAGCATAGAAACACATAAAGAAAGCATAAAACATTCACACTGGAACATAACTCAAAAGGATTTCCCTCATACACAACAGCAGATTTTCTTTTTCTTATATGAATCTTTTTCTTACACATGAATCTAGACCCAATAATTAATGTAAACAGTGCCAAGCTTAGAGTGTGTGCAAGATGAGAAAATCAAGAGGGTTAGAGGAGAATTTCCCAGCCAGCAGTTTAACTGTGTGTACAAATTTGAGTAACTAAAAACTAAAACCAGAGAAAGATAAGCCTGTTTTTTAGTCAAAGATAGCTATTCAGATTAACAGAGAAATAACAGGAACAAAAAAGGGAGAGAGAAAAGAGCAGAGTATCCATTTCCTAGTAGAATTGATGAAGACATACAGCTTAAACAGCTCAGTTGCAGAGTTTCAGACAATCTCAAAGGAAATCAAACGAAGAAAAAAGAACATACCCCAAAAACATAGACATTTCCTTGGTAATAACAAGCAGAATGCCCCCATCGTTCAGAAGGGATAAAGCCCATGACCTTAGGATACAGCCACATTGCCTTCTTCTTAGAAGTTTCTCCTCCTCCTCCTCCCACAGAAGACCTCATTTGGGTTCTCTCTCTAATTTCCTCTCTTTCAGAAGTAAAGCTATTTGGGTATTTTTACTTCAACACAGTGCTTGACATGAAATAGAAGGCAGAGAGAGGAGAAATGGGGAGTCAAAAGACGACATGAACAAGCCAAGTGATGTATCAACTATCAGTGTCGATAGACATGAAAAGATGGGAGCTTTCAAGTTCAAATCACTGTGGCACCCAACAACAACAACAGAAGCTTGTGGTGAGAATAACATAAGAAAAGAAAAAGAAAAGAAAAAGAAACGAAAATGAGACACTTTTTTTCACTTAGGCATTTTATCAAACACCTAATAGGCACATGAGTTGGGGCGCTGAGTAGACATATAAATACACAATAGAATTCAAACACAAGGTGTTAATATCAAGTTAGTGATGTAATGTCATTGAGAAAGTACCTGTAGATAGAGAAAGAGACAGATTTCCATAAAAAAATTCATTTTCTTTCACAAATTGTCTATCTAAAAATGATGAACGAAGTGGAGGGGGAGCATTGGATTATGGGAAATGATGAAGAGGGTGTTTTGGGTTTCGGGGTTCCTTTTTTTTCTCTTCTTTTGTTGAAGAAGAGAGATTAAAAAATGGTCACATGATATGGGGATTGATGGAAATGGGAAAGAAAGCTCTTTCTCTCTCTCTCTCTAGAAATGAACAACAGAGATGGGAGAGAGAAACAAAGAAAGAAACAGAGACAGCATAACCAAAAACTCAATTTTCAAGGCAGCCATTGATGTCGATCTAGAAATGTGTTTTCTCGAGGGTGTTTTTTGGGGGTAAACATGGGGCGTTGGGCTTTGTAACAGAGTGGCGAAGAAATTCTTTTATCTTTCTAGTTTTGGGAAGAGGGATATGCTGTTTTGATTGCCTCAACTCTCACAAAACCCAAACCTCTTTCTGTTGGGCTTCATTCACACTATTTGTTAGTTGTGGGTTTAAACTATTACAAATGGTATTAAATTCATTTACCGAACGAAATGCTAGCGAGGACGTTAGGCTCCCAAGAGAGTAGATTGTGAGATCTCATATCATTTCCCTTTCATATGCATTTTAAAACTGTGAGACCGACAACAATACATAACAGGCCAAACAGACAATATTTGCTAGCGGTGGACTTAGACTATTACACCGAGCTTCCCTTCCTTTTATACTAAAGGTCAGTTCAGCAGGAGTGAAAATTCTTCTTACCTATCCCGTGTATTAAGATGCCACGTCTTCAAGAGACCTTAGAATGTAAGATTCAATTTAAAAGTATTATTAGGTTCTTGACCACGAAGAACGAGGCTCCCGAGACCTATTATTCTAATCCAACAAACGTAGACCGATAAAACAACTAAATTTAAAAATAATATTTTAAAGCATAATTCTTAAAAAAAAAAAAAAAAAAAAAAAAAAAAAAAAAAAAAAAAAAAAAAAAAAAAAAAAAAA